TCTTGTGGCAGCTAAGACATCAAACAAACTCGCAAGGGAGATACCACCAATTAACCACAATTGCATTAGCTTCTTTACTAATCTGCATATCTCAGACAACTTTTAGCAGGAGAGTTGGAAGCAACCGCTTCCCATCTTCCAACATCATATTATAATCAAACCGAAGAAGGAAATGAAGATGTTCAATAATGAAGGTGAAATCAATAAATAACTTGCTTGCAACTATATTTAATAACAAAAATAATAAAAAGGCAATTTTTTGTTAGGCCGGCAAGCAGGGGATATATCACAACCATAGACCTGGGATGAATCCATGTTCATCAAATTTTGGTTTATGAGCATACAAAGGACTATATTTAATGGATACCAAGCTGCCAATTTAGGGACAAAAAGGCAAGGTCCCCCAATAAGGCAATAACCCAAGATATCAAGATAATGAAGACAATAAAAGCCAACTGCACAAATTTTTTAACGATTTTATAGCCATATTGATGTTGCAGCAAACAACTCTACCCATCCAGACTCTCTATAATGTTTGAATATAGATGCATAAATAAATGAAATAAAGTTCAATACGATCATCATTTTTAAATGAACATTTAGATGCAAAATACACCTGGAAAAGCTATCTAGAAAGACATCAAAACACCTGTTTAAGAAACATGAACTCCCTTAACATAACCACTACTAATCAAAATAATTGGGCTGTTTTATCAAAAAATGGGGCTATTCGAAAGGCCCATTTAGATTTGAATAGCGGACAGATCCAGCCCATTAATTAGTGACATTCCAAGAGGATGATGTGCATTATTTTTTCTTCTTTCTTTTCCAAACATTGTCAAAACAAAACAATGAAACTATAAAAACAAAACCCTTCATATCTTTCAATTATAATAAAATAAAAAGGTTTTTTTCAATATAAAGTATGAATTTATCAAAATACCTTTTACTTATTTTCCTTCTTTGTAATTGTACACCATTTCCACTTACATGTTCATGTGAATGGAGGCACACTTCTATGGCTACGAATGATTTGTTCTAATTCATACGGCGGCCGTTACAAGTATTAATTATGTCGGGCTATAGCTATTTTCTTGATTCATGAAATTGGGTTTAATTTGCCGTGTCGCTACGAAATCTATAAAATTTGAGCTCATCTTTTCTATCTTTTCTTCATTTATGAAAAATGTTGCTTTTATTTTACTTCCGGCATGATACACAGGACCACAAGATCAAAACCAGAGGAAATTTTTTTTTTTTTTACTGTATCCCATGAAAAAGATAAAGAAAGGAATAAGTAAATTCCTCCACTCCAACCCAAGGAATCAGCATTGTTATTACTAGTATTATTATTGAAGTTATTATTGACTTGGGATTAAAGTTAATGAACCTGGCGACTTGGATTACTTAACCACTATTAATTAAATATTGTCCTAATTAAGACCTTATTAGTTAATAACACCTAACCTAGACCCGTCGGTGCTCTTCTTATTCCTTTCTTGCTTGGTAGATCTCACACTATTTATCCTTTGTTTGCTAAAAAGATTCCATGCTTTTTTTCACATCATTGTCTTTTTAAAATTCATCTTTATTTGTACCAAATTTTGAACTATGATCTTTAATTTATCTAAAGCTGTTTAAATTGTACTTAAGAACATAAATTAAAAATATATTAATTGTACTTTTTTACATTTACTTAATTACTTATAAAAATGATAAAAGTTGACTTTATTTTTATCACAAATACCATATAAGAATTTAATAATGATGAGGAGTTTATTGATAATTGTTAAAAACTTATTTATTCAATAATTAATATTTTGCAGTTGAGAATCAGACTCAATTTTAAATTAAGAGATCTATTGAGATTATTTTTTGACATCACTTACTTCTTTAAATGTACCCTTTTAAGTGAATTAATATGGGAATTTTATAAATCATTGTCAACTTATTTGCTTTCAAAAAAGTTCTTTCTTGGTAATCTTTAGTATGTGGAGTTTACTCTTAAAAAAGTTCTTAGATTCTTGCCTTACCGGTTGAAAATGTGTATAGTATTATTAAGGTTTTAAACATGAGAAAGTAGTGAGGGGAAATTGAAAAAAATGTATAATGAATATTATTTTTGAGATTTCCAATTATTATATATAACAACTTTTTTTTTTTATGTTATATGTAACAATATTTATATAATTTTCAAGACAGATATTATATGAATATAAATCAAATACATTGAAATATCTTAAATTAATTTACCTTATTAACCCAATACCAGAAATCAAATAGGTTAAACCCCCTTTTTGGTCCCTCAACTATTGTGCGGACCCCCGATTAAGTCCCTCAACTCAAAAAATCCCTGACTTGGTCCCTACTGTTTATCATTTTTACCCCAATTTGGTCCTTCCACTAAAAATCTCTCCACGTCCACGTGTACTGTTAATTCACGGTAAGATGATGACATGTCAAAATTTTAATCTACGTGGAAGACAACATGGTAAAAGCTAGTGACATGGCAATAAAAATTTTAAAAATTCTTTCTCTTTCCTTTTCATTTCCTGAACCCAGAGCCTGGGATCGTCGAACCCATCGCCATGGGTTCCTTCAAACCCAACTGGGCGTTCCTCATTCCTCTTCATTTCCTTCTTCATCAATCAATTCATCATCATCATCAAACAAAACCCACAAAAACACAGAATTTATTATTTTTTTTTTTTGTTGAAGAACCCAGTGCCTGGGTTCAATCAAACCCGGTGCTGGGTTCGCTCTTCCTTTCCTTCTTCATCAATCAATTCATCATCATCATCGTCATCAAACAACACCCACAAAAACACAGAAATTTTTTGTTTATTTTTTTGTTGAAGAACCCAGTGCCATTGAACCCAGCATCGGGTTTGAAGGAACCCAAAGCTTGGGATCGTCGAACCCAAGCGATGGGTTCCTTCAAACCTAGCTGGGTTCGTCGAACCCAGATCGCCTAGATTCGTCGCCTGGGCTTGGGTTCGACGAACCCAGCGCCAGGTTCGTCGAACCCAGGTCCAAACGACTAACCCAGGCGAACCCTGCTGGGCTCGTTGGAACCTAAAGCCTGGGTTCGTTCAAACCCATCTACTGGGTTCTTCAAATGAACCCAGGCTTGGGTTCCAAGAAACCCAGCGTCGGCTGTTGGGTTTCTAAGGGGAGAAGGGTAAAGAGAAAGGGGAAGAGAAGGGGAAAGAGAAGAAAAAAGAAAAAAAAAAAGAATTTTTTAAAGTTTTGTTTTTCATATTATTAATTATTATTTTTATATTATTATTTTTTTGCCACGTGTATAATAATTTGCCACGTCATCCTATAATAGTAAATTAACAACATAAGTAATGAGATTTTTAACAGAAGGACCAAATTGAGGTAAAAATGGTAAACAGTAAGGACCAAGTCAGGAATTTTTTGAGTTGAGGGACTTAATCGGGGGTCTGTACAATAGTTGAGGGACCAAAAAAGGAGTTTAACCTATAATTTATGGCCTACATGTAATAGGGTTAAGAAAAAATTACCTTTCTAATAAGAAAGAACATTTTTTTCTCATGTACATATTTAAGAAAATATATGCTCCTATTATTTTAAAATATAAAATGTTTAATTTTTTTATACGTATTTTTAAGTAATATTTTTTAATAATATA